GGGGGGGGGGGGGGGGGGGGTTCGGCAGCAAGCACTCTGATTGGGTGACCCACTAACAGCCACGCCCGATAGGCCGAGGAGAGGCGTTGGGATGATGACGCAGAAGAACGGCACGCTCTGCGCTCAGCTTCGATTGGGGGCGGCAGACGACTTCGGGAACGCGCTCAAGCAACGCCCCCCCCCCCCGCCAACGCAATCAGCTGAGGCGCCCGAAAGGGGCGGGCCGCCCCAAGAGCGCGCGCAGCGAGCCCCACCCCTCCGCTCGCAGACAACGCGCGGCCCAGCAGGGGGCGCCAGAGGGCACACTCCCGCGCCCGGGCTGGAAGGGCGGGAGGCGGGTTCAGCGCGAGGCCTGCCCGCGGCCGCCCGTTCCCCGCGCCCCGCCCGGCGCCTTCGCGAACTACCGGCTGCTCGGGGAGGGGAGGGAGGGTGGTAAAAACCCAGGCGCCTGGCACAAGGGAGGCTTCCGCACGTCCCTCTTCTCCCCGGTGCGAGGTGCTCGCCCAGGCTGTCCGGATGGGGCGGTCGGGGCTGCACCCCGCGTTGGAGGTAACGGAGCCTGCGGCCTTAAAAACGACGCCTGCTTCTAATTTTTTTTTTTTTAAGGGTACCCCTTTTTAGGGTAGACAGCTTAGTATAGTCTATAAAATGCCTTAAGTAACCCGGTTTCTACACTGTGGAGCAGCTAGTCAAATGTTTTCCACTGTATTATTCTGCCGGTTTGTTCAACGCAGAGCAGTAACACGACTGAAAACGCAATCCAGCTGGCGCGAAAATGACAATTGTCATGCAAAATGCATCCAAACTGTACGCCAAGTGATTCCTATGCATAATTAGAACAGGTGTTTCATGTTCGTATAGCAGATCTCTGGACTTCCGAGTCAGGCAGATGCCATTACAAATAATCCTCCGATTTTACTGCTCTGCTGGGAAAAAAACATAAATACAAGAACAACGAAAAAGAAGTCCTTTCTATTCCATTCAATAATAAGCTGTCTAAGCATACACCCTTTATCACAGGGGAGGGAAGGTGACTGCCTGCTGGGCAGGACTGCTGCATAAGCATCGAAAGTCTTTACACCTGACTATGCTTCATGATTACGGGCCAATCTTTTAAGCAGTGATATCACCAAGTCTGTAAGATGAGTAAACTGAATGGACTGATTATGTCAGAATGCAAAAATCTGCACAGTTTAGAGTTTTTATTAGATCTTATTTTCTATTGATACGTTGTAGATATTTTTCCCTAAAAATGGGGCAGAGGTCCATTTATTTACTCTGACATTACCTTTTAATACTACTGTATGCATACATCCTTATTTAAAGTATTAGACAATTCAACATGCACTAGATCAGCTTTTTGCTATCTAGTGGAGATATGACCTATATATTAATTTCTTTTACAGTCATGATTTGTATCAAATGCATTTTTTAAACATCAAATAATGTTTTTTAAATGTCTAATTCAAATTACTGTAACGAATTACACATTTGAGAGCAACAAAGGGGTAATAATTTGTCATTTAGTTACAGCACTTCTAAATTTAAAATAATTATTTATGATTTTAATATAATCACTTTACTTTTAACACAAAGGTATCATAAAGATTATTGCATCAGTCTATGAAGCTCTTGGAGACTGTATTAATGGGAGTCATATAGGCATCACAGACAGAAAGCAGCAGCACACAGTCAAATTCACCAACTACATAAAACCTTTACAAGTTCAGTCCTCCAAGAAATGCAAACCTTTCTGGTTTTAACCTGGACCTTAAAATCAACAGTCATGGGACCTGTCTTTTCAACACAGGCATTTCTTTTTTGTCTCATGAAACACAAATCAGTTTTGACTGTATTATACATCGTTTAAAAACTGCCATTTCCCTCTGACTGCTTGCACCCATAATCAAAATTGTTAGTATTTTACCCAGTTCATGGTGTCATCACTTCTGCATTTTTTCCTACAGTTACTTCAGTTTCTTTAGCCATCAAGAACGTTGGTGCCAATACTAAACCAACCATAGGGTAATTAATTATTTCTGCACACCAAAGGAAAAGTTTGTTGAGAGAAAAGGGGAAATATGTTTCTGCTTTAAAATCAGGCAGGCTTATTGAAGTATGTTGCTGGCACCTGCAGAGAACAATTTGCAGTTACACCCCTGTTTACTGCTTCAGAAATGCTGCCTGGCTGCTTCCAAACTGTTAGCACAAAGATCATGTTTTGTTATGAAAGTCAGTCTCCACAGTGGCTCGGGAGCTTACATAAACTGCAACCTAAAAGGTTGCAAACCTAAAAAGCAGAAGATGCTGCCAGAACAGAATTTAATTTTGCTGGTTAATTTACTGACAGCCTGAAAACTGCTCATTGAAGGGTACTATACTTCAGTTACAGTACATGAACCCCCAGAGAAATCTAAGCACAAAGAGCAGTGCCACACAATGGTGTTGCCATACCACGCACTGTGTCTATGATAAAACAATTCCTTACCATCTGTAGTTTGCCATATGCAGGAATTCTGATGATTTAACTATTAGCCTGTGCTGCAAAAATAAAAAAGAAAGTGGTAGAAAAGCAAGGGTGCTAATAATAACCTACTGCCAATTTTGAAACAGAATAGAGTCTACAGGCTGATACTCTGTGTTGTAGGAACGTAAGTGGGTTTCACTGTTATGTACTGAATCCTCTTAGTCTTGCTTTACTTTCTTATCTGGAAATTACATTTATATCTCCATTAGCTTTTCTGAATATAGCACCACAGCCTTGAGGCACTGGGAGCCACGCAGCATAGAACCACCAGAATTTTGAAGACGCAGGAAGAGGTGGGAGAAGAGATTAATTTGCAGGGAGAATCCAACTCTGACAAGACAAGGCCAGACCTCTGTAGTCTACATGGCAGAAACAGAACTGTTTGTACAGCACCTTGTACAATAGCATCTCAAACTCCATTGGCTTCAAGTAATAAGTAACTCACTGAGCACATTTAACTTTCATACTGAAAAACCTACACTGTTAAAACATCAAAAGAGTTTCTCTTACTCAAAAGAGAAATTTCTCACCTCAAGACACTAATCATAGCCATTCAGAAAACATCACAAGTTTGCTTTATCAACTGTCTCCATGACATTTCTTAAGATTTTATTTTTTCTTTTCTAAAAAGGAAAGCTCATATGAAACTTCACGCAATAGTTGTCCTTTAAGGCAACGGTGAAAAATGTACACAGAGCGGGTAAACTGAGCCAGAGGTTAGAAGAGGTTAGAGAATTGCATGCAGCACATAGCTATTCAGAGTGGATAACAAAATGAGATTCTTTCAGTCAAATATAACCTAGGAGAGAACGCTGTAAAATGAGAATTTGCTCTTTGCTCGTTTCTGCCAACTTTCAGCACATGCTAGTCCAACGTTACGCCTCTGCAGAGCAAAAGAGAACCGTGCTGTTCTATAAATTAGCCAAGGGTGGACCTCTGTTCTTGGGCAGACCCCTCGTGATTCCAGCGACAAACAGCCAGCACTGTGGAGCCAAGACCAAAGTATCTAGATAGCTCCCAAGTTATTTCCGTGTAGAACAGCTCATGTTTCGGCAGCGCATTTTTGCTCTACAAATTAAAATGTGTCAAAGACGTCAGAAAGTTACACAAATTACCACGCAAAAAAGTGCCTCGGGATACAGCAGTCTTTAAACGCGCGCAGCTGGGAGGTACAGCAAGGCATACCCACTCCCCAAGCTAAATGGCATCGTTATGTCAGAATTCCGCACCACTTCGGTACCTTTAAGTCAGAAAACCCCACAGTCACCCTTCCAAGCGCAAGCTTAATTAAGCCCAAGAGGTGGATTTCCTACCTCAGAGGTTACAACCAGAGTACGGCCCTTAGCCCGAGCCCTCCCGCCGCCCGGCCGCCCCCGCCCGGCCGCTCCCGCCCGGTTCTCGGCGGCCGGAGCAGCCGCTTATCGCCGTACCGTCGGTCGCAGCCTCGCGGTTTGGGAGCGCGGAGGGCTCCCCGCAGCCGTAGCGAGGCCTCCCCGCCGGCAGCCGCTCTCCCGGCTCCCGCCCGAGTTCTGTTTCCAGTCAGCCTTCACCCTGCGCCACCGCCGAACCTTCCCGCCCCGGCCCCGCACGACTCTACCCACATGGCGCCTCAGGCCGGCCCTACGGC